AGAGCTAAGAAACGACTTCCAGCTGAACAGGAAACGGGTCCTGATGCTCACAGTCCATTACAGCATAATGTCAAAAACTAGTCATGACAGCACCCTGAGCTCCTTTTTGCATTTGGGAGAAACTTCTGACAGAAATCCAGGGGAAATCATCAAAAACAACTGGTAAAGTCAATAAGAACCATATCAACAGGTAATAAAAGAGGTAGAAATTTGATGGTGAGTGAGGAAGACTTTAATGGCTAATAAGTCACCTTCCTGAACACACATTGTTTCCCTGACAAAAGCAACTAGAAAAGATGGTCTAGATAAAGTTTAAAATGTTGAAACATGAAATATTTCTAATTGAAAACAATGTTTGAGTCTTTTTGGGGTGAATTTTGTTAAAGACGATCTCAGAGTGAAGTTTAAGGTGTAAATTTGATCTGCAACATGTAATTCATCATAAGAGTTGGTTTTGTTTGAGTACTGTAAAAACACTAAAACTTACCAAGTATTTTGTCTAGTTTCTAGTGAAAATATTTTAATACATTTGAAATAAAGCAAAACTAATTTACAAGTAACTTTTCAGCACAATATAGGAGCTTGTTTTAGGTCAATAATTCCTGAATATTAGTGAAAAAAGTTCCAGCTATAAGTGAAACCATCTCCCATTGCAACAAGATTTTTTCCCATATCTTAATTTTAAATGTCTGTTTCACTTATGGCAGACTAACTCGTACGTTTTCGTCAATATTAAGGGAGAATTTACTTAAAACTAACTCTTATATTTTTGGTGAAAAGTTACTTATAAGTAGTACTCGTCTTATTTGTGTAATTATATATTTGTACTAGAAACTAGATTAAAAATACTTGGTAAGATTTTGTGTATTTGAAGTGAATAAAAACTGAGAAATAAATATCTAAACAATATGCTTCAGATTGAATCATAACCTGGCGGAAGATCAGTTTCTGTGATTAAATTTCTCAGTTATATAATCGATGCACAATGTGGCGTCTCTTTTCAATTTGTTTTGACATTTGGACATAGTTCCCAGTATTGATTTTTTTTTTCTTTTTTTTTCTTTTTTTACAGTGTTAGATTTTCTTTTTAGTCACTTTAATTGGCCCTTGAAAGCATCGGCTGCGGCTGGACAGAATGTGAAGCAGCAGAAAATCAATTGCAGGCAAATATTTTTTTTTATTTTGCAGTCATGCTCCATCTGACCTCGTTTGGATCACATGTTTTCACACACAAACTGACAATCTGTTTGCTCTGAGAAATCCCTCATGTCGCTGTCCTTATTAGCAAATAGACTTTGGAGCTTCACTTAATTTAACTGTTGGGCAAATTCGTCCCCAGAAACAGAAATGGAAAGTTTTAAAATCAGGAGTTTTGAAACGAACTCCCTGCAGAGCGTGATCCATCATCCAGCTGAGTTTTCCTCCAGATAGACTTTAAGAGTTTATTTTATTCATCCATTTACCATCATGCCTTGGGGTTTTGTGGTCTCACAATCTCGTGCACGTATGGGTTTGTGTACGAGACCATGTCTGTAACTCCCTTTTTTTTCTGGCACATTAATCCATCACAGCGATATGCCAATGGAGGTGGACCGAGGCGGGAGAATTTCATAGCCTCTAGGAATGTCCAACTATATAAATTTCCACTGATATATTAATATCTTCATATGTCCTGTGGTACTATTGATGCAGATAGTAAATGCGGTAGAAACAACGCAATATTTCTGCAGTGTAGATGGTTTCCGAATATAGAAGAGTAGAAGACGTGAAAAAAACAACAAAAGTTTATGCTTGAAAGGAAGATGGGTGAAGCAAGAGGACTAGAGGTCACAGAGTTTAATTATCTGGGGTCAACCATCCGAAACCACAAAAGAGTGGAGGCAGGATGCGATTGTACACTGCAAAACGTCAAAATCTTACCACGTTTTTTTTGTCTAGTTTCAAGTTTAAAATGTTAGTACAATGTAATAAGACACAACTAACTTACAAGAAACTTTTCAGCAAGATTTAGGCTCTTGTTCCACTTGCAGATTATTTCACTTAAAGCAAGACATTTTCCCGTGTTATCAGTGTAATAATCTGCCAGTGGAGATAGAACCTTTTTCATCAATATTAATGAAATATTTACTTAAAAACAAGTTTGCATATCTTGCTGAAATGTTACTTTGTGTTAGTTTTATCTTATTTAAAGTGTACTAAAATATTTGTAGTTGGAAGAAGACAAAAATATTTGGTAAGATTTTGTCTTTTTTTAACTGAAAGCTAGCTGCAAGAGTGAAAGGGACTGTTACAGTTAGACCTGCTGTGATGTACGATTTGGAGGAGATGGTGCAACTGAAAAATACAGGAAAGGCTGATGATGTTCAGATTTCCATTAGGAGCAACACAAATTAAGAGGAAGAGAAATGAGATCAGACTGAACATATGGAGACAAATTTAAAGGGGCAATGCTGAGGTGTTTTTAGCATGCTGCAAAAGCACAAAATCTTACAACGTTTTATAGTTTCTAGTGCAAATATCTTAGTACAGAAGTTCCCAAATGTTCCTCAAACAACACTAGCTTCTGGCTGGGCACCCCCTTTAGAAATCCTGCAATACAATACAAAGAAACACTGACTTTTAGAAGGTTTCTCACCTTTAGTCACTATTCAATAATTATTAAATTTGTTTGGCATAAATCCTTCCTCATTCCCTGCAAAAATACAAAATCTTACAAAGTATTTTTGTCTAGTTTCTAGTGGAAACATTTTGATAAGCCTAAAATAAGACTAAATTAACTTACAAGTGACCTTTCAGCAAGATACAGGCGTTTGTTTTAAGTCAATAATTCCTTCATATTGATGTAAAAGTGCTACTTGCACTGGCAGATTATTTCACTTATAACATGGGAAAATATCTTGCTTTAAGTGAAATAATCTGCCATTGCAAATAGCACTTTGTCATCAATATGAAGGAATTATTGACTTAAAACAAACTCTCATACCTTGGTGAAGAGTTACTTATGAGCTAGTGTCTCATTTTAAATGTACTCACAGCATGTTTTAGTGTTTTTAATGTAAAATCAACAGCAGCAGTAAAACATGGCTCAGAACATGTTGCAAAAAGAACAATATGGGAAAGACGTCAATTAAAATGGATGAGCTCAGTTTTGAATCTGACTACTGTAGTTTGAAATGCTGGTTTAGGTCAGCTTTGCTTCTCAAATGCCAAGGTTAAGAGCCGTTTAATGCATGAGAGCAGAAAGCTGAGGTAATGGTGGCAGAAGGCAGAAGGTGACGGCGAGACTGCGAGGGCCTGCTGCAGGAGCAGGGAGGCCGGGGAGCGGACTGGGCGGAGGTCAGGAGGTGACGAGCTTCAAAACCATAACCTTAGCACCAGAGATGACTGAGCAGAGTGGGAGAAAAGCTCTGCTTCACGCAGGTAGAGGCAGAGAGGGGGAGTTGAGGAAAAACGGAGCTAACAGAGCTTCGAAAATGCACAAATAGAACATGCCTCTCTGTGTTCCTCCTCTCCAGACATCGAACAGATGCTTCAGAGCTGTCAGATAAATAAGATGTGGTGCACAGCTGGAACATCTGTCCATTGTCTCCTGAGTTATTTTAGCATTCCAGTTAGATGTGCACAAATTCAGATCCAGCACATGAACCCACTTTGGCAGCTTTTATTCATTTAAAAAGTTAGAATGATGGTTTTGATGACAGCAGATAAAATGTACACTTTTCTTAGCTGATTAAGCAGTGAGTACATGAGGTTGATTGGCAGAGCTAGGACCCTCCTCCTGCCTCTGATTGGCTGCATTTCTTCAAATGGCAACAGCAGCACAGGGAGGAGGTGTAGGAGATCCATCTTTTCACAGATTATCTGCCTCATAACAAACTCTAACAGCAAAAAAAGCAGTTTTTCTAAAAGTCTCATACTGCAGCTTTAAAGCTACATTTTTGTTTTAAAAATGTTTTTAATTGACCTGTTTAAAATTAAAATGCAAGGAAAAAATAAAAAAACAGGCAGGTTTAATTTTACTTCACAAAAAATTATGTTAATTTTTTTAAAGTGGCCCTCTCTCCCAGATTCCGGTGGTGGAGAGGAAGACGGGCCCCAAATCATGTTCTGCTTAAGGCCCCATACAATCTTGGGCCGGCCCTGCCCGACCCAGAAGCTGGGGAAGAATGAAAACATTGACCCTATGATGGGCTCTCTCAGGTGCCCCATCTTTACCGCTTTGCTTCCATCAGATGGAATATTTGCTCGTCATATTGGCTGTAAATCAGATGAGGTTCGGGTGTGTTTTGAACGGCCGCCGGTTGCTTCAAGGCTTCGGCTGGTGGTAATTTTGGAAGCTTGTCAGACACCGAACGCTCGGCTGCCACCACAGCTGCAGCTTTCACACGCTTTCCGACTCTGGAGTTATAAAACGCTCCAGATGAAGCTGGAATTGATTTCCCCGTATGACTTTAAGAGCGAGGCCACTGCTTGGCTGAATGGCTCTTCTCTGCGATAGCTGTCCCTCATGACCTCGGCCTGCAACGGCGAAGTGAAATGGTGATATTTTATAAGTGGCCAAAGGGGCTTTGTGCAGACGCCTATCAAAGGGCTGGGATTATCCATGACACTCAGATGTGTGTGTGTGTATTTTTTTTTTCATCCAGTCGTCACTGTGAGACATGCGTTTACAGCTTCACGTTGTTATTTGCTGTCTGGTAGCAGCTGATGGTGATGGACTCCGTCTCAAGTGGGGTTTTTTTATCGTTCGGTTGTTGTTGTTTTTTTTTCATCCTCCCACTTTGATAGACTGAGAGGCATTGACACATGGATTCAAGACACGCTGCAACAAACAGAAGCACACAGCACTTTAATCTAAAATTGGCTTGTCATGGGCTTTATGAGTTTCACAAAGACAATAAAGCTGTTGTCTATTCTGGACTAAAGCGACGTTCGTCCCCCCCCCTCCTGTCATGTGGAGACGCAATAAATAAAAGCACTTCATCTTTTCTTCTCCGCAGGTGGAGTCTCCGCTGGCAGTGGACGCGGTGCTGGGCGAGGCGTCGTTCTCCGTCACAGATGACAAGGTTTCCATCACGGAGCTGCGGGTTCACACCGTGTCGGGCCTGACCCTGTCCCTGCAGCCCAGCCCCGGCAACAGCCACACCATGGTCGCCAAAGCGTCCGGTGTCCAGACACTCACGGCCCTCAAACAGGTAACAGCAGCAATGATCGGCCAGAAAGGAACAGGCAACAGCTGTTTGGATGAGGGAAGTAAAAAAAAAAAGTATCTGAACTAATCTGATCCAGTATGAAAAAGTTAACAGCAGGGATTGTGTGTGCATGTGTGTGTGTGCGCATGTGCGTGTGTGTGTGTGTGTGTGTGTGTGTGTGTGTGTGCTTGTTTATGTTACCCATTTAGAAACCTATTGATATAGTCACTCACTTTCTAAGGAGACAAGATTTCAGCTTACATTTTAGCATTACATTTGTTTTAGCAAACAAAAAAATAATTTTTACCATAACAGTTTAGCTTAAATTTTATTATAACATGATAAACACAAACTTCTGTTTTTTTTTTTGTTTTTTTTTCGCATAAAGTTATTGTTACCATAAGTTTTATTTTTGCCATAACTTCTGTTTTAGCATAAACTTCCATTTTTACATGGGTTTCATTATGATTTTGTATTTTGTTGACCTTCCTGGGCCACCGTAACAAAATGAAGCTAAAGCGAAAGACTCGCCAACATTAAGGTGGATCTTTTGAACCATGTCAGACTGTGCTCTGTCACTACTGGAATTAGTGTTAACATATAAAACAACAAAAATTCAAATTCAAACATTCAAAATTTGCTGCAGTGTAATGCCATTGGCTTACTATGGAAAAAGAAGCCCAATCACTTTTTGTCCATGAACCAAAGTTAGCCTTTTCTCTAACTCGTTCTGTTCACACTCCGTCTATCTGCAGTTATTTGGCTACACAGGGAATGTCTTGGTGAAAATAAAACTGGGACGGCTGCGTTGCTGCAGGCGGACCTTGGTCAGTGAGAGGTTTTTGGAGAGTTGAATGCATGATTTCTCCCTGGACATCTGGAGTTGGCCCTTTTCCCAGTGACAGAGAAGCTGCAGGGATTGCTCATCTGGACACTGCACAAACACCAAATCTTACCAAGTATTTTTTTTTGTCCAGTTTCTAGTGCAAATATTTTAGTACACTTGAAATCAGACAAAACTAACCAGCGTGTAAGTTTTCAGGACGATTTAGGATCTTGTTTTAAGCCAATAATTCCTTAATATTGATTTTTTAAAAGTGCTAGCTCCACTGGTAGATTATTTCACTTATAACAATACATTCCTCCCATGTTATAAGTGAGTCGATACTTTTTCATCAATATTAAGGGATTATTTACTTAAAACAAACTCTCATATCTTGTTTTAACCAAACAATATATAGTCAGTTTAGTCAGCTTAGTCTTATTTCAAGCGTACTAAGATATTTTCCCAATAAACTATGTAAAAATACTCACATTTGTTGTTTTTTCAGTGCAGCCCAATCCTGTAAGCATCACCGCCACATCATGTCGATGTCCAGAATGCTTGGTCATTTTTATCAACATACAAATGAAAGATGATATTTAGTTTCTGCTTATTTAAGTATTTAATTCCGATTCATGTATTTACTGTCCACAAACTTGAACAAAATTATATTATAAAAAATGCAAACAAACTAACTGGTCACTAATAGAATACAGAATCCTTCAGTATCAAGACCTCAGACATTTTTATAATAATTCCTTGTCTATTTCAACCGAGTGGTGAAATAAATTTGTTCCAAAGGTTGTCAACAAGCATGCAGCAGTTTCTCTTTTAAGCAGTGAAGTGCTTAATGTGCTGTCAGTGTTCGGCAGCAGTCAGGGAGGATGCCAGATAAAAGCCGAACTAATAAGTTTCCACTCTGTTCCTTTACAGCAAACTCAATACTAACTGAGCCTGGAGCAAAAACACTCCTAAAATATGTCCAAATGTATTCCACAAGATAGATTTTGCTCTTCAAATTAACAGCAACAATATGTAGATTTTGTTTTATTTGTTTGTGCAAAGCAAAAGGCATAGAGAGGGAGGTGGATCTGTGGGAAGGATTAATTGGGATCCTTGCTTCACCCAGAATAGAACGTGAACATATGTTCACCCTCCTCCAATGTTGCTAAAAATGCAGCAACATCCACACTGAGCATGAGTGAAGGAGAAGCAGGCATTAAATCCCAATTTTTCCTGCTTTCCGCTTCTCGGCCACCTTGAAATTTAATTATTGTAATGTATTGTCCTAAGTGCTCTCCAAGGCCAGGCCGTAAAAGGCAGCCAATTCCTCCGGCGGCACATCTCTCGCCAGGCTGCTGGCTGAAGCTATTTCAAGCCATTTGACTTCGTTTCACTGGAAAACTTTCTAAATGTCCACTATTACTGTAGAAATGAATGAAACACATAAATCCTGATAGACGTTTACCAACAAAAGCCGCCTTTTCATTTTTCTCCATCGTAAACCAAGTGCAAGTTAACCCTAAATCAACTTTCTTTTGCTGATAAACTAGGTTATCTAGGGTTCTATCTTTATGTTTCTGTGCAAATTATGACATTTTTGTTTAAATTTGTTTAGTTCTGCAGTATATTGCCTAAAATCATCTCAGTGCTGCCCTCCTTTGGTTGAACAGTGGTTACTGCAGATGAATAATCCTGTGTGTTTTAGCGGCCCAGCTTGGTTATCGTTTTTGTCTGAGTGAGACATAGAACTATCTCACTCAGACACAGCACAAGTGGAAAGTCAGGAGTTGGAATAGTGAGCATCACCGTGGCGATAGTCGCTAGACTAATCCCTTCTGCTCATCCCCACACTTGACCACGCCCCCTGTATGTCTTGACTCCACCCACTTTGACATTTTTCTAATTTTGTCAGGGTGGGTTATGCTTCCACAGGTGGATAAATTACACTTGAAATAATAGAATCTAAGTCATTTTATTCACAATCTAAGATGGTACAAATATTTGCTCAACTCATGCATATTTTATAATGCAGTCTGTTCCGTTTAGGCATGTAATAAGAGTGAAACTTAATCAAATGAGCTCATTTAAATGATGACATTATATGGATTTATAAAAGCAAATGGTTCAGATTCAGTGCATTATTTATAATCACAGCCAGATTATTGCTTTTTTTTACTGAGATGACAGGTTTGCCTTTTTAGAATTGTGTCTCCGAACCTGAAGCAAAGTGGGTGTACATCTGATAGACGCCTTCAGAAATCTGTTGAAACAAAATCCTGCCTCTCTTGTCATCTGTCCGACTGGATGTTAGCTGACGTTTAAGCAAGCTGCTAACCATCAAATGCTGCCTGATTACAGGGATGGCAGGACTTTGTGGCACATTTTCAACCAGTCTTTCTCCAGAGGGAGTACGGACGTAAAGAGTGAAAGAAAAGAAGAGATGAGACCATCGTGGTCGATAAACACAAAGAGACAGACTCATCATTTGATACACGTACTGATGGTGCATCTTTGTCGGCACCTCTTCTTTACCAGCACAAACAAAGTCAACCTTTAAGTTGGTTTGTTCTTGTGTGCATCAGAGACAAGAAGTTCCTTTGCATGTTAAGACTTTAATTTGGGGAGGACTGTCCGGTTGTTTCAGAAAATCTCCTGAGGTTTAGGGTAATGGAGTGAGTCCAGACTGTCAAAGATGCTCAGAGTTGGGAATTTGAAAGTTCCTCTGAATGATATAAATACAGGAAGAGTTCACAGCTTGTCATCAGAACTGCTCTCCTCTATTAACCCTTTAACAAAAATTTTACCAGCATTTCACTGAAAAGTGTAGCTCCTACAATGAGCTCAACAGATACGCAGTTCCACCATGTGTTTGCTCATTTCTGCTGGCTAGTCTGAAGGAGCTAAGTCAGGAAGGGCTGCTTTGTGAGGTAGAAGCTTGGAATCTGCAGTTCAGAGGAGGAGCTGTGCCTCAAAGGCGGGGCTAGGACCACCCAGGCATTTTGCTTAGATGAATTGTTGCCTTGGCGATTAAAGGATTTCTTAAACATGCATAAAAGAATAAATGCAACACTTCAGGTATATTTTTTGTGTGAGGCTAAGTTGATTTTACTTGATGTTTCCCCTTTAACAAAACATTGGAGTTAGCCACGGTCCACGCTGAAGAACTAGGTTTTCTTGGTAATCGATTTTCTGTTGTGAACTGATTTAAACAAAAAATAGTATCTAATGAAGATGCATTTTAAGCCAAGTATCCTGTATGAGCTGTATCTTTGGTGCAGTAAATGATGTTGCTGCTCTGTCTCGGCTACAAGTTAATGACGCAACCAAGATCCGATCTGGTTAAAACTGTGTTCTCTTTACTTCCTCTTGCTGCAGAACTCGACAGCCATGACACGTTTGTTTGACAGTAATCTTTGCAAACCTGATGCTGTAGCTCTGCTTCCTACTTAGAAAATAAAAGAAACCATAAAGAGAATGTCTGTAAATAGTTTTGTGCTCATTCACCCTTCAGAGGATCGCAGTGGTAGGGAAAATCTAACTGAATTTATTCACTGAGATCGCAAACGGAAACATTTAAAGAATCGATACTAGTTAATTTAGCAGTTACTAATGAGATAAAGGTTTGCTAAATGTCTTCACATTTACAATGTGAGTTGGGCCATCTTATGGTCATCCTCTAATGCTATTATGACCAAATTTAAACATGCTTTAAATAACTCATAGACATATTCTTACCTGTTCAAGGAAGCATAATAGGTCATCTTTAGGTCATCTCTGTTCCATCTTTAAATGGAACAGAGAAACTTGCATTCATATGAAATCCTGCAAAGGGTCAAAACTTATTTTTGTTGAAACTAAAAATGTAATCTGTCTCTCTTCTCCCTGACAGGAGGCCAGTTTGTCTGTCTGGATGCTGTTCAGTGACAACACCGCCGCCCCCCTGATTTACTTTGATCCCAAAGACTACAACCTCAATGCCTCTACTCTGGATGACAAAGTTGTGTCAGTATCCCAGGAGCCGCAGCAACGGTGGCCTGTGGTGGTAGCAGAAGGCGAGGGATCAGGAGAAATGGTGCGTGTAGAGATGACCATCTGCGAAGCCTGCCAGAAGACCAAACGCAAAAGCGTCATTGCATCTGCTGCAGTTTATGTCAAGGTCCGCTTTGGCCCCGAGGAAGACTCGGAGGAAGAAACGACCACAGAGGGCGAGATTGAGCTGGCATCTGTCACCAGGCGGACAATCATTGATCCCAACATCAGTGGAAGAATTTATGATACTTCTAATGAGCAGCCTGCCAGTGTTCCCATTGATTACACTAATTTCCCCACCATTAGCAACCAAGAGCGGCCGACTGAGAGTGATGAAGAGGAAGGGGATGATTTTGTGCATTCGCCACGCAACATGACTGATCTTGAGATTGGCATGTATGCTCTACTAGGCGTCTTCTGCTTGGCTATATTGGTGTTTCTAATCAACTGCATTGTTTTTGTGCTTAAATACCGCCATAAGCGCATCCCGCCTGAAGGCCAGGCCAACATGGACCATTCTCACCACTGGGTGTTCCTTGGAAACGGCCAGCCGCTCAGGGCCCAATGCGACCTGTCTCCACAGCAGGTGGAAAGTCCCAGCAACCCTTTGGAGGGGGTACAAACTTGCTGCCATGGGGACCACCACAGTAGTGGCAGTTCCCAGACCAGCGTTCATAGTCAGGTCCATGGAAGGGGTGACGGCAGCTCTGGCGGTTCAACGAAAGATAACGGCGAGGAGGCCAGTTCACCCACCTCCAAACGCAAGAGAGTCAAGTTTACCACCTTTACCACCCTCCCCACAGAGGAGCTGCCCTATAACTCCATCCCCATAGCAGACGAAGAGGACATTCAGTGGGTTTGCCAGGATATGGGCTTTAAAGACCCAGAGGAACTCCATGATTACATGCGCAGAATAAAAGAAATAGCCTAAGATTGGAGGTGCATTGTGAAAGCTCTGCTCTCGACTTTCTAAAGAGACAGTTCCTTTCTATTTTTTCCCTTTTTTCAAGCAAGTGAAAGATGGTTTTTCACAAACTTTAAGGCCAACAATTGTTGTTCTGGTTAGGGTTTGCTCCATGTAGTTTGCACAGTGCTGTAATCTCATACACCCTCACACAGGAGAGAATGCAAGAAGCCAAAGACTCGACCAGAGGATCTCAGTCACAAGAGACGTCTGTAAATCTTGGCTATAGGAAACATGTTTCACTTGGAAGCTGAGCCATGGAGACATATGAGAGCTGCTCCAGCTCCAGTTTTTCAGGATTTGACTTTTACAAAATCCTGACATGGACAGGAGTACAACAAGGGTTAATGTGTTTCAGTGGCTCAGCAGGACTCTGCAGTACTGTACCTACTCCAAACAAAGAGGCCTTTGATGAACAAGTAACTGTCAAAGACTCTAATTAAAACCTGTTTTAAAATAATTTTGTTTTTGCCAAAGTAGAAAAAGCATTCTTTTAATGGCAAAACCTTTGTTGTTGTCGGTGTAGCACATTCATGATTTGTACTCATCTTCATTACGTACATTTTCTACATTTAGTAGGTAGATGACAGCAGTGCCCTACTACAGTTCCTGGTGTTCCTGACAAATCTGATGCCTTATAAAAACGGTCACAGTTCACTTATATCAGTGCAGACACTGTTTTCTCACTGTTAGGAGGCTTGAGACGGCTTAGTACAGCATTAAAGTAAAACACTACAGCTATTCTCCAGCCTGAAGAGACGAGTGTTGCATGAAAAGGTAACCTAAGGCACAATCAGCCAACTTTTTCCAAATTTGTACATGTTTATAATGTAATTAAACAATTATTCATACACATTATTAAACTAATAAAATGTTACCATGCTTTACTCGCATGTCATGTTGGGCTTACATACATACAGACATTCCTCTTTGTATATAATTCTGTCAAACTGGAGTTGCTTAAAATGTTGCAAGTTTGTTTCTCCAAGGAGGAGAAATGGGAATCTGGTTGAACTCTTGGGATCTTTATAATCTTGTGGTCGGTCAAAGTTTCTCCACTGTACTGCTGTGACAGATGTAGATTTTTATTGCTCTGGAATCTCATTTGACTGTTCGATGTGGGAATTTGCTATGCATAAGTTTGAACAGATCAATATTTTTGATGATTTATTTCCCTTTTCAAGTTTTGCGAGCCTAAAGCTTCTGAGAATGTAGGAAACAGAAATACACCAGTTGAGCTGTGTTTGAATCGCCTAGTCATTCACTCTTAAGTCATACATATTGTAGCAACGTTTAACTTTCTCAAATTCTTTAAAGTTAAACTTGAAGTTTTTGTCAAAACCGCAAAATTTGCTGACCATCAGCTCAGATTTAAGTTAACATTTTGAGGTTTTTATAGCAAATAACTGGGAATATCCTCCACAATTTTGAAGTGTTGTGGCAGTGAAGTAGAGTCTGTGCCGCCATCCCCTGCTTGGTTCTCCAGTGAAAATGTTATTTTGACTGAGTGAACATTTCGAATACATTCAGACTGACTCTCCTCCTCTAAACTCCACAGAAATGTGAAACACCCTTAAAGAAGGTCACCGAATATATTATTGATTTTGTTTCATCATTTACATCACAGCCATTTCATGCTGTCCGATTCTTTTAGCCGCATCACGGTATATATGAATTCCATGTTTTATTAATAAGTTCCAATAAACTTGGAATAAATAAGCTAAAGCTTGCAAAGTTGCCCCAAACTAAACAATATGAGCAGGACCACAGCGTGTTAACGAACAGCGAGACAAGGAAGAAGAGAAGAAAACGTTGCCGCTGGCTGTGTGAAATGTGTGTGTGTGTGTGTGTATTTGTGAGGTTGTGTTCACTTTACAGACAAGCCAGAGCAGCTGAAATCAAGCCATCTATTTTAGTTGTGTTAATTGTTGCCTTTTTAAATGTACCTGACACTGAACATAAATATTAGTCGGAGAATTAAAGAACTTTAGAAACTGAGAGTTCAAACAGAATATCACCGTCCAGACAGATAGCTTTCATTTCAGACAACCATTTCTTTTTTTTAGAGATGACTTTTGAAGGTTAACATTTTTCCAGCTCTGATCTCACATAAAACATTTTCTACTAGGGACTAATGAGACAACCATGAGATCAAAAATTACTTTCTAGGACGGTTTCCTCTAATTCCCTACTCTGGATTTTAAGGGCTTTGATTTTTTTGATTTTTTTTTCCTTTTACCCAACTTACTGACTGATTTTGGCTTATTAAAGTCCCTTTTATAATCAGCATCATCTTACCTGCTTTTCATCCCCTATGTTCTTAAATTAGACACAATCCAGAGATATTATGCAAACACATGTTTCACAGGAGAAACTGAACTAGACATATTTAATTCTCTCAGCTTGATATTTACTATTTGATTGTGTGGCAGTTAAATGGTGGAACTGTTTGCTAACATTGTAAATATTGGAACAAAACCGGCTTTAATTTAGCTTAACATTTACAACTATCAGTAAAATATTGCTTTAGCCCGTCCACATGTACATAGACTCACAGCTGATATTCATACATCCTGGATTGAGTTTACTGTACTTGCTTTACTGCATGTCTTCTTTATGTTCTGTGTGAGAAAAATGAGTGAGTTGTAAAACTGTTTTGATTGCAAGGTGAAACATTACTTTTGGGTGTCTAAAGGTGCGTTTCGACTGTAGACTTTTTTTTCTAGAATCTACGTTCTCTCGACATTTTCCCTAAGGGAAAGTTTCAAGAGAAGTTTAGCAGCAGAAAACAGCCCTGGTGGTCAGGTAGGATTTTTAAGATCACACCAAACATTCAAGGTGGGTTTACAGTCTCTGGTTTTAGTCTTGGTTCTCTCAGTAATCTTTATTACAGCAGCTCATAACTTCATTTAATTCGTTGTGGAATTATTAGTGTTTGTCGTCATGCAGAATATAACGTTTCATAGATATTACATTTTAAAACGTCAGAAAAATGTAAGTGGAAAAGAGCAATTGTAAAACACTTTAAATTAATCATGGACTACTTTTCTGTTGTTGAGGGATTTTATTTGTGTTTTGGCCTTTGCCTTTTTCTGTATCAGCTGCCAAAGTCGCAGGTAAATAAGGCCCTCTGTAGCGTCTCCATTACAAATGTGCACAAAACTTAGTCGATATTCCACTAATGTCGACAAAAACAACATTTTGCAGTTGCAACACTTCCATTAAATAAGAAACGCAATTAAAATCACACATGAATACGTTTGTTCATGCGGTGTCATTAAAAAAACGTACTGCCCATGTTCCTCCAACCAACTACTTCCTGTCGTTTTCTTCTTCATGGTTTCTTCTTCAGTTCAATTTCGGCGCTGTAAAACTCCGATTTCTAATCCCAGCAAGAATTTATTTTTCTTGTCGACATCTACCGTTAGAATTCATTTTAAAAAGTCGCACAATTTTATGAACTTTGGTTTTACTTATATTTTGGAGTGTAAAGACCAAGAGGCTCATTACTGTAGAACTTTGCAATCTCAAATGAATCTACCTTTTTCCCTGTTAAACATTTCTGTGAAGATTTTGAAGAGTGTTTTCTTAGCCACCAGAGATTAGGATTTTATTCTGGAAAACTGAGGAAGAACTACTCAATTTTCCCCTTCTTAAAAAAAGCCACTAGGCGGGGCTGAAGTAAACCTGAAAGATTATAACAGATACCTACAGTAATTACAGTCGAAACGCATCTAAAGTTTGCTTACTGTTCAACCACAGCATGAACTTCATTTGTCAGTTTGTCAGTTCAGATTGTTTCTGTTTTTACTTTAAATCTCAGGATGAATGTAGACGACCCAAACAAACCTGGCAGTTCTCTGTTAAATGTGACTATGAGCCCAAACTGGTGACCGTTGAAACACAAAGTAGAAAATATCAAACAGCTTCTTAATTCTGAATTTCCCTGACTTGTTCGTGCATTAAATATTCAACAGTTAGATTTTTTTCCTCTTCATGCATTTTGTCTTTTTTTTTTGTATCTTGTTCCTGATTTTGTGTTTTCTTCAAGCTGCTAACAGAGACTCCGTACAGTATGTAAATGAGAATTTTGAATTGTATTCCCCACCTTCACGACCACACAGTGAACTGTGCACGACATTCACGGCTCCAGTTTTCCTGGACCAAGTTACCACCACACTGACTATAATATTGTAATGTACAGAGCACTGTTAAATTTCCTGTATCCTGCTGAAAACAGACCCTTGTATTTTCCTGTTAAATGTAAAGTACTAAAGAGAATCCAATACACAAGTGAAACTGTGTCTGTCTGACTTTCTAAATAGTGCAAAACACCCACAAAGGCGAGGTAAGCGTTGCTGCTGATTTTTGTGTTGGTTTTCTGTTGGAACAGTGGAGTAAGAAGCCTCTTGTGAGACCAATTTGTCCGTTTTTCTCTGCCTGGTTTGATCATATCCAGGCTGACATCCTGCTGGTTTTTGAAGTGCATATATCATTGCTTTCCGCCCCTCGCTGTGCACAGTTTGAGGACCATCCAACAGTTCCTGCAGCAGTGGGAAGACGCCACAGGTGACACTCTGATGGACAAAATCCACAGTCAGAGGTGTGTTCTTTAACCCTGGGGTGTTTGGTCCTCCTGGTCACTTCATTAGGTCCCTTACATTAAAGAAAATTAGTGATTTATTTGAAAAATAACAAAAATATTTGCCCTGTGTAAACGTACCAAATTCAGAAAATTCTATATTTCCAGTTGATGGTATAAGCGAAATAATTTAAAAAGCACAAAAATGTTTAGACGTTCTCTGATTTAATGTTCCCTTAGACCTCATCTAAGCTTTAAAGATAAAATTAGAAGACTTGCAAAGTTATACTTCTATAGCTTTATAATATATATTTGTAAAGCCCATGTGAAAACGATTGATTCTTCTAAAAAAATTGAGCGCACCTACATAGATACTTTGCTTTCTGTGCTTTTGTTAATGCAGTTTTGGGGATCAAAGATAACTGAGATGCTACACAAAATAATTATAAATTATACTGTTCCAGTGAAAATGCAAGATCAGCTGTACAGTAGTCGTATCACATTTTTTGCCATGTTTTGCTGTTGTTTTTGGAGAGCAGAGACGGATGACAGCATCTGGATGGAAATGCTAGAAAACTCTAAGTAGGGTTAGATATCTAAAGAGACACTTGTGAGCAAAAGCCTTGATTTCATCCCCTATTTGTCAATATTCTACTGTGAGACTTTCTTACCTTTTCAACAAGGTTTTAGTATTTCTTCTCCCTTTCTGAGAATGTTCTCATGTAGACTTTTCAACTTCAGTCCATATTAAGGTGAATATTTCCCTGTTCACATCCTCTTATCTCTGATTTATGAATTTTTCAGGCATTCTACCCGAATAAATAAATCAATAAACTGAATTTGTGCATTGATATGAACTGGTTTAAGAATGCAAAGCAGACATGTGACTTGGTAAAACTCGATAATCTTTGTCCTTCTCAAGAGATTTCAGGTGTATTGAAGGTGATCAGCTGAAGGATGAAGCATTTCTCAGGTCTGAGCTGGACTGAATTTTAGGCCTGACTTTTCTTCTGTCCTTCATCCTGTTTTTCACCTTTACTCATGTTTTTTTTTTTTTTTTTTTTTTTGGCCTACTGCCCAACATGCTGTCACTAAGACAGAAGAATTAGAAGGTAAATAAGCAAACAGGAAGAAAACCGGACCAGTGTGAGGATTTAGAAAAAGTTCTTTCTCCTTTGAGGAAGATTATGAAGAAATGAAATGTACCGTATTGTCAGGGTCACAGGTTTTATTAGATTTTTTACTGTATTGAGTTGGGGTTTTTTTACTGTTAATCTTCTCATCTAAAGGGGAAACGTTGGTATTTGTAGCTGCATTGATTCTTTTGGTGCAGCAAATTGTTTCTTCATTTTTTTAATTTTCCTTTTGTAGGTAAGGCTGCATGGAGTTTCAGAATTAAAACTAAACATGCACCAATATTTTATTTTTCTACAGTTTAGGACAGTATCTGTTAAAATTAAACGAAGTTCTATGCAGATACATGTTATTTTTTCCACTAAAATATGCATCTTATCTATCTTCTGTCACTTGCTGCAGTTATACTGTATGTAGTTTTTAAACGTTTAGCAGCACTTAAATCCTTGAGGGCTGAAAATGATGGAGAATTTATTTCATTTCATTTCTTTAAAGCAGCAAAAGGGTTCTCAACACTAAGTTTTCTGTCTTTTATTGAAGTCTGAAAACTAATCTGCAGTTCTTCAGAAGATGGAATAAATAACATGGTTCAACGTGTGTTTTTTTGTTTTTTGTTTTTTTTGTCAAAGTTTATGCAAAGATTTAGACGTTCCAGTAGAAATCCTTTTAAAATGAACCTCAGGGAGACTTGGCAGGTGAAATCATTTCTCCAATCAGATTCACTCTTCAGTGACAGCCGTCGCTGATAATGAAGCTCTCCTCTGGTAAGTCTGTTAAACTTTGTTCAACTTTTTTTCTGCACTTAAACAACTAAACTCACCATCATATAAAAACCATACATTCTCCTTATAGTTTTATTGACATCAGGGTTAAGCATCCAAACATAAAAATGACAATTATTGCTGGTGTCGGGCATTAAAGCGACTTTATTTTAAACTCTAGACATAAACCTTCCTGTGTTTCTTATGCTTTGTATAGTTTGAAGGTTGATTTCTATTGTACAACACTTTGTGATTTTATGTCTGTGAAAAGTGCTTTCTAAATAAACTAGTATTTGTTTTAAATCCTAAAATGAAGACGTTGTGTATCAATTCCGATTTTACATGGAACCCAGAGCTTGCATGATCTAAATGTTTAAGTTTAGCTGTCGAGAGTTTCCCCTCTTAAAATGTTACCTGAATGAAGTTTGGATAAACACAAGAGGATGGAGAATTAAAAAATAAAATCAGCAATCAGTGCAGTGCTACCTAAAGGTTGGGAAGGGCTTTTATTTTGCCCAAAACAAGCCTGTTATCCAAAATGGAGTTTTATCAGATTTTTAGAGGTTGTAAGATTTTTCTTTTGTCTTTGGCAAAAAACCACCAGTTATTTCTCCTGCTAGCGCTAGATGCACACATGTTCGGTTGTACTTACCCAGAATGCCCTGTGCTGTAATTCACTTCCTACTCCAGTTCACTTGACATTCAAACCACACCAAAGTTCACTTCAACCAAACTAAGACTTAGGTTTGTAGGAGGACCAAAGTTTGCTCCTTTTTTTTTTTGGTCCACATTAGAGTTTGATTATGCATTCACACCTCCCCAAACAAACCGGACTTTCTGGACAAACAAACTGGAGTTTGGTTAAACCAAACTGAAAAGGGCTGGTGTGAATGCACCCTTAAATTTGAAATCCAACAACAATGTGGATAACTACATTTCTAAATTCTTTTTGCTGGCATACAAAGTTGTTTGTGTTATTTTTCGAATGTGTGCAGCCGCTGTTGAAGGTTGTGGATAGATTTTCTGTCATGCATTTTAAACGCAGTATGGAGGAAATTCAAGATGAAATGCATTTGGATCCTCTCAGCAGCTCTGATACATCAATGTTGCACACTGGATAATTACCATTATTTTCATAGTTTTAAATGTGTTACAAATGGCAGCTGATGTTCAGTGAGAACTCCCCAAACTTCATGTCGTCCTGCTGCTTTGCTGTCTGCATAAATTCATCTCTTTTTCTTTTTTTTGTTTTGTTTTTTCACCCTTCTGGACTAGAAGGAATGTCTTTTATTCTGCAGCAAAATAGCCTTGTCAAAAAGGACAGCAAAAGCATTATTCATCATGTTGAGGAAGACAGCTTTTTAAAGTTTCATCGAGGCTCAAGGTAGGCCTTTGTCAGCATGTTGTACTCCCAGCTGTTCCATGTTTGAGCCTTGGAAGCTGAAGGAAAGACGAGCTTAACTTTGGGAAGGATTCTAGCGATAAGTCGTCCCCAGAGACAGTTATGTGTCCTCAAGGTACATGAGTCTAGTCCTGGATAAGCTAGTGGAGGGTTGCTCCAACCCAATCCTGCAACTTTTAGATGCATCTCTTCTCCAACACACCTGAATCAGATGAATGGCTCATTATGAGGCCAAACTTGATGGCAAGCTGAAGAAGTAATTCAGACATTTGGTTATGGTGTTGCATAGTAATTAAACCTGTAAAGCAGATCTGAAGGACTGGAGACTCCTGATCTCATATGTCTCTGTTGCAATACACTGAGTAGTATTAATGTGATTGTCTGATTCTGTTTCTTTTACAAAGCAACTGGTTTTCTGAAATTTTGAGCGTTTCATCTGAACAGCTCACAGCTGAGACAGAGAGAGTAATTAGGAATAGATATCCTGAATCCCACCTGATGCCCAGTCCTTAGAGGAAGCAGTAAAGGCCCGGGATTAGATGGAGGATTTAGCCATCAATACGGCTTTTAAAAGAAGGGCAAAGGTCAGAGTTGAGATGTTCCTCCTTTGAACTGAGACTAGAGAGCAGAGGAGAGTTTAAACATCTGGTCAGAATATATTTGTACGTCTTCTAGGTTTGAGGTTTGCAATGGCCTAATGGACATTCTTAGCATTTTTGTTGGCAACACCACAAAGATTTTCATTATCGAGTGAGGACAATGGTAGAGGCAGATGACTGGTTCTTTGAAACCAGATTAAAGAACCACTAGGCCTTCCCTTCAACTTAGCTTACATTCACAGAACAGGCAAAAGTGACTCTGAGCCAATATTCTTGCCAATCTGTGACCCATGTCAGACTTGTTCATGGAAGTCTGAACTGTCCAGTTCTGATCTATTCATCCACCAAAACATCTGATTTGTACTTCCATATGTGGAATTGGATACATATTTATTTGTTTTCAAAGTGTCTTCGGTCTGAATAGCCATGTTGCATTTTGTCCAACTTTTGATGTGAGACTTGGATCATCATTCTGCACCAGCTGAAGTCGAACACAATAAATCTGGACATAAACAATGGCTGAAAATTAGGCCCACCACTCTTGGATCCGACTTCACGTCCAGACAGACTTCTCTATAGACGTTACAGTCAATGCTCCCCAAAAGGCCGTTGATGGTAGTTGTGCTGTATTTTGTTAGATTCCTTCATCTCCTTGTCAACTATCTTAATATAGATGGCGTAGATTATTACATCCTTTAAACGAGCACTACTGTGTGATGACAAGGTTCTTCTTTTTTGCATGCATGGAGTCAGAAGCTGTTCACACAGAAATCTGACTTCAGTTGCGTTTAATTGGTAGCATGAACAGCCACACACACACA